AGAGTAAGCACATCATCCAACGCGACCGATCATTGTGATGCTGCAGCACAGATACTTGCCAATGTCTGATTATTCATTGAGGTTAATAAACCGTTTTTTTTCGGTCTCTTACATACAGACAAGCAAGTTGCTGTTTTGTGTATCTGGACCGTAGTTGTTGTGGCTGTATTCCGTAGCTTCTGCGCCCTATTAATGATCTTCATCACTTTTTTCTCGTCAGTGGAGACATCCCGAATTCTGTGCAACATACTTGCTTATGAACGGAATAGGTAGTTATTCGGGATGAAAACTACTCCACTGAATGAAATCCGGACAGGAGTAAGTCAGCTTATTTCTAGCAGGATGTGTTTGACTGAGCGGGAAACAGTTGTGCATCATTTTCCATTAGAAACATGGGATCATGGAGCCAGAGAAAACCCACCGTAATAACAATTTACCTAGCAGTTGTGTAATCCCATTGATCGGTGACTATCACGCGTGGCTGATTTCAGCCGACGCATTGGAAGAATAACTCTATCCATGGATGTTGAGATTATTTCAAAGACAGTCAAAACATTTGCAATGAATGGGCAGGCGGCAGTTGTCGATAACGATGTAGCTTCAATAAAGTTGCCATAGTTGGCTCATCCAAGTCGGAGCCACTTCAGCAACATCAAGATTCACTTTTTGGTACGCAATCTCCGAAATCCTCAGTATGGTCGGGGTGGGTGTCTGTGGTTGCGGCTGGTCACCCTTTCCTTGAACCTCGCGAAGTGCTCCCATACAATCAAGCGTCTCAAATAGCCTCTGCAGAGGAAGCCCTACTCACTGCCTTCTCGTGGCGGAGGTGTTTTCCCACCAAAGTGAGAGGACGAGTAGCCGACATCCGGGGCTATAACCGGGTTGGTGGACCACTGGCAGTTCACCTAGGGGAGTTGGCCAAAAACCCTGATTCCAAACGAACCATACCACCTTTCTGGTTGTGGCAATGGTCACTGGCTCAATTGGGCACCTTGGACGTTAAACTCCGTCCGAAGGGTGTATGATCTGACGAACTGGAGCCGACTCCCAATGGACTGTAGTTTTCGCACACCGCCCCGCTGCCTTCCGGGTCGGGCTTTGGCTGGCCGAAGGCTCCGGTTGTGGATTCCTCAGGAAAATTCACTTGCCTTTGTCTGAGCATCCTGGCAGTATTCGGCCCACATGCAAATCTTGGACGATTTGTTTGGCTTTCAGTCTGGCCTCAGACATGTTATATATATATATATGTTTTTTATTACACACTAAGTGGATATGATTAGATGTTTGGGATAAGAGATTGTTGATAAATAAGAGAAAGAGGAGGGGCGAAAGTGTAGAACCCTGGGGAACACCGGCGTTTACAGGAAACGGCCGAGATGAGACCCCATCTACTCGGACGGAGATGGTTCGCTTGCTGAGGAAACAATGAAGCCACGATACAAGAGACGGGTGAAATCCGAACGTGAGCAATTTCGACAGTAGACCTTCATGCCAAACGCGGTCGAAAATCTTTGAGATGTCGAGCGAGACCATGTGAGTTTCTCCGTGGTTATCGAGTGCAGCCGACCAGGAATGTGATATGAGCGCCAGTAAATCACCCGTAGATCGACGAGGGCGAAATCCATACTGACGGTCAATTAACAAACCTTCGCGTTCGAGAAACGTACGCAGTTGGTCGGAGATAATGGTTTCAAACACTTTCGAGATTACAGATGTAAGAGTAATGGAACGGTAGTTGTTGGGGTCGGAAGGGTCGCCGCGCTTTGGGATTGGAAAAATAATGGCATTTTCCCATCAATTAGGAAAAGATTTATGTTCGAGTGAATAATATAAAAGGCAGTGTAGAACAGGGGCTAACTCCGGGGCACACATTTTCAAGACGACAGGTGGAATACCGTCCGGACCGGTTGGTTTACAAACATCCACACCGCGAAGAGTTTGGCGGACCTTTCTGGTTGTTATGATAGGTGAAGTGGAATGATTGGATGTGTAGGAGGAGGGTTTAATAGTAGGGGCAACAGATAAGGTGGAGTTGGAGGCAAACCGGGAAGCGAAAACCTCTGCTCTTTCGTGGGGATCACAAACAAGAGTACCGGAGGATTTGCAAATGGGAGGAAAGTTGGAAGGACAGAAATCACGTGAAACCACTTTAGCGGGAATGTTCGGTTACCGGCGGGGGAAAAAGCCAAGCGCCCAGCTTTGTGACAAATGAAGCGTTCTTTAGCTCTCTGAATAGCGATCGAGCATTTGTTTCTGGCTTGTACGAAGCAGTTGCGGGATGCTGGATTGGGTGAATGGCGCCAACAGAGGAATGCTGAGTTTTTAAAACGTACAGCACGATTGCAAGCGTGATTAAGCCACTCAGGGGATCGTGATTTGCCGGGTTTGAAGAGATGTGGAATTTAAAGATACATACCTTGAAGAACAATATCCGTGAAGTTTGAAATAGACGTGGAAGCATCAAATTTAAAACAACAATCCTTCCACGAATAACAAACCAGAAAGTCACGAAAACCGTCCCAGTTGGCTGAATCATAACGCCAAAAGGTGCGTCTGGAGTTTGGTGGTGAAGTGGAGTGAGAGAAATGAGACATTGGTCCGATGAGCCTAATGAGGAAAGGGAAGTGATGTTGGAGAAACAAGAAGGAATGGATGTGAGAATGAGGTCAAGGGTGTGGGCGCGGTCACCAATACGACCAGGGATGAGTGTGGGAGGTCAACTAGTTGACTTAGGTTATTAACCACAGTAAATGGCTTGGCTTCGCGTCCCATGATGGTAGTGCCTGAGGAATGCTTCAGCCGTTCCTTGTTGTGAACATTGAAATCTCCGACAATGGTGATTTGACTGTTAGGATCTGCCGACATTAGTGTCTGAATGTTGGACGACAGAATATCAAAAAAATAGAAGAATCACTGCTTCTCGGGGAGCAGTAAACAGTACAAAAATAGTGGTTGAAAGAAGTGAATCGAAGTTGCAACCACATAAGCTGAAATTCACGGTTAGTGAAGTCTAAGTGTGAAAGTTGGAAAGAAGCGACAGAATGATGGATATAGGCGCAGACACCAGCTTTAGAAAGAACAGAAGAATGGAGGGAGTAATTAGAGAACTGAAGATGAGTGGTGTCTGACGAAGGGGAGATTCCTGTCTCCGTCAAAAATAAAACTAAGGGGGAAGAAGATTGTAGAACGTGGTATACAGAGTTAAAGTTTCGATTTAAACTGCGAATGTTAGTGAGGGCTATGGAATGTTGTGAGTTCGAAGGTAGAGTGCGCATTGTGTGATTTCTGTGAGTTATACTGTTCATTTTTGATGCGAGAGGAGATCGGCAACCTAACCCTGAGACTTGGAGTGGTAAACCACATAAGGCCTCCATAGGTTGAGCGTGGTAGTGAGCCAGGCGACAGCACGGCCATTTACCACCGGTAAATGTATATATATAAATATATATATGTATATATATATATATATATATGTAGTACTGATTGATTGTGGTACACTAAAATGTTTTCTTTATGATCAAATGGAGTTTCATTATATTTATCACCTGTAATAATGCCTTAGGTATGGACAATAATTTATATCTTGTTTACTTCGATCTACGTGGTTTTTAGTCTGCATAAGTTTCAATTAAACGTGCCTGACCTTGANAAGATTAAATGATCTGAACATGAAAACGCTCCGTGTTATTTTTCACGAGATGTTAGTAAATTTATCAATTTAAGCAGTCTGGTTCACTTATTATTTGCTTTGAGACTTCAGAAAACATGCGTGACTCTAAGATCCAGTTCAAGCAACTTTCCCCCAATAGCCCGGATCTCAGTGATTGAAAATCTGTTCTCTTTTGAAGAGAGAGGTCAACTATTTTAGTGTCGTGCACCGCCAATATGCAATTACTGATGTAGGTGGAAGCGGTAGCTAACCGGTCTCATACATGCAACATGAGCGGTTATTGTTGGTGTCGGTGAGTTCTCCGAGCTGGAAGTGTAGTTCGCAGACGTTTCGTATCCAAGCAACACATCATCAGTGCGACTTCGGGCACTGATAATGTTGCCTAACTTGGCTAAGAAACGTCTGCAAACTACACTTCCAGCGCGGAGAACTCATCAACACGATCATCCGCACCCCCAGCTACAACCACTCCACATCATTTCAATGAACGGTTATTTCACAGAACTGTCTCGGTTCAACTTCTATAGGTTCTTTTCACTGGGGTGTGTCATCCATGTTACGCAATAGGNAGGCTTCCTCGACTTGTGATGCTTCTCGATGCAGATAGTCAACGTTCGTCAGACTAACAGGAACGAAAATTGTAACCATAAAACTCGGTCATTTTCGAGGGTATTAGGCTTTCTAATTCGGGATCTTAGAATCAGTGTAATCGATGGTTAGAGACACTGTTTGATATGACGTAGCGTCTGAAACCGGTTCACTGGTACTTATTCTCAATCTCTTTGCTACCTTAGTTTGTAATAATTCTCTAACTTCACATTGTCACTGCTGTCAGAGTTCTTATATTACTCCTTTGTGCAACTGGGTAGCCAAAGGACTTCGACCAAAACCTCCCTATGAAAGTGCTTGTAAATGGCCTGTATTGAATGAGGCTGATTTCTTGATAATTACATCTTTCCATAAGGTTGGATGCATGCGGTTTTCTCTATGATCTGTATGCTACAAACGATGATCTTGATTGTAGAAGCAGACACACGTACGAAAGTAATTCAATAACCCCGTGTGCATTGTAGAAACGAATAAGTCTTGGGTTCAAAATTCTCTGTTAATGACTTTCAACTTTACACTCTCCTGATTCTACAGAAAGTGATCGCATATTGTGATCACAGATCTCAAAATGTGTGTGTGTGTGTGTGTGCTTTCCCACAGTACAATTCACATCTTGATCAGACTAACTTCTGTGCTCAGTTACTAAGTTGGTAGGCCAAATGTGTGGTTGTTATTAACACAGAGTGGCGATTTACTCCGTTCCTGGATTTACGAAAAGACATTAGCGTTTCTTTGTTCTATTCTCACACTCCGATGATGTTTTCGATGCTGAGACTGAGGCCGATTTGTTTGCATCCTGGGGGGTGTCCAAAATGTAGTCTAAAAATTCGTGATAGTTCAACTTCCCGTCTCCATCCCGATCATATTCACGAACAAATGATTGCAGTTGTTTCACGCTGATTCCGTTCGAATCTCCGTTCTCTTGTAGCAGTTCATACAACTCGTCCATGGTGATATAACCATTCTTGTCCTTGTCCACTTTGTGTAAAATGTGATGCCAGGTTGTGTATCTGTGTGCACGGGAAGGACGGGGAGAAGTGACAAGGAGTGAAAAAAAAACTTGAAATATAAGGCAGAAAGCCAAGAAATAGGTATTTAGAAATCCAGGTTGCCTAAATTCCGATAACATCCCGTTAGATCCCAAAACGATGGATAGTCATGTTCATCTTCCAGAAATCAATTTGACTTCCCCACCCGGTGTTACCTGGTGCATTCCCACGTTCAGTATAGGGGAACACGATCACCAAGTTGTTGTTAAACTGTGAATAAGACGGACACGGTCTCTATGAGTAAGTGGCCGCGGAAGAGCAATGTCAATAATCGCGGACGTGGTGGATTTTCACTTGGCAACGTTTCTCCCAATAATGGAACACTAGAGTGTAGTAACGGCAACGTGACTTGACAATCTTTATCTCCTCACACCAATAAAACCATCACTCCTTATTCTAACACATCTATTAAGCAAGACTTTTCCTGGGCAGGTAGATGAACCAAAATATTTTTCATCTAGTAATGTGAACCAACTCGGCTTTCTAACAAATTTCAGTTACAGAATAAAGGGTAGAATGCTGGCCTCGAATAAAAAAACCGAATGATGCTGATGCCATCGCTTGCATTTCCATTCTCGAGAACCTTCACGAATCGCTGTGGTTCGTGAGGGCAACTTATTTTTGTCATCAGGAAAGTAGTGGAACGCGAAATTTATCTTCATTTGGTGTTTTAGTCAAATACACCTCACGATGCGGATCATTAGGTCTACGGGTGCATCGTTCGTGACCCATAATCATATGCGAAAACTTCACGTTTTCAAGCGAGACTCATTCACAAACGGGATAGAAGCATCAAGAAAAGCGCAAATTATTCGATACACCGATCAATTTGAGAACACTTCTACGTCATCGAACTAAATACGAGTATTTGATGAAGATGTCAACCTAATATTGGAGATCACAATCTATCATCACTCTTACACTGTGTGAAAACTCTCTGTCTACACTTGCTGTGCTGTGTGTGATATATATTCCCCGCTGGTAGTGAGTACATCCATGTATACATTGCCAGTCAGTGTAAATGTGGAATGAATGCTTCGCGGAGTGATCCATTCGCCACCGGCAGGTAAATCAAAGAACTCTTTGAAAAACAATGTGATTCTCGATTCTGAACTATGCCTGCGCTGCTGGTGTTGTCGGACACAAAAGCAAGTAGATATGGTGAGGACATTGAACACAACACATTAAACGGTTGTTATACGAAATTTTTCTCGATTAGTATGCTCAGAATGTTCTTTGCTGTCAAATTGTTTCCTTACTCGAGACGTTGTGTTTCATAAGATAGGTCTTTATAAGCCATAGACGCTCTATTAGGCAAAACCAATGCAAACGTCGAAGGTCACCAATTACATTCGGGCTTGGACAGAAGGAACTGGTAGGAGAACATGCTTATTGTTCAGAAACACGCCAAATCTACCATGTCAGAGGCAGACCAGTCACGAAGTTTAGTTATTTACAAAGGTTTAGTTTGTTACACCGATTTTCTACGGCTTTAGAAAACGGTAACAGCCGCCAAGTCTTCAGGGGGCTTAACACCCGCAGACAACTACCGTATAGACTTCCGAGTTAGCCTGACCTTGTCATGGTAAAGCAACCACCATGTGTCCGATCAATAGGCATATACGCACTTAGCTCACAGTTACTTGTGACTAGTAGTGTGGGATAATTGATAGTGATTGATTTGAATTGACTGTCCTTTGGACTTCACCTTCCTCAGTTCATCGATTGAACCATACACTCGGAAGCACTAAACTCGTGTTTCTCCCTTATTAGAGCTCATCAGTAGTGCATATCCACCGTCCCGTCCGGGATTTGAACTCCTGGCGCATCGCAGGGAAGGCGTGTGCGTAACCAGTGTGCCAACCAGATCATACCATGGCTGAGCCGAATTGCCAATTCATGTTTGTTCAGGTGTCGTCTTCAGTGATTGTCAGTCAGTTCCGACAGCAACGAAGGGAGACGCAGATGACAATCCGCTAATTCCAATTAAAAGTCAGGACTTCCATGCTCGTTAAGGGCTGATTTGCCAACGAACCTACAAGGATCGAGTCATGTCATGGTTCTGATAGAAGGTGCACATGATGCTTTGTTCAGAACTGAAGAGACAACAAGAAACAGCTGGATTCAACCTGTTCTGTGATGAGTCATGTTATTGCTCTGCAGCAATGTCCAAAGAGAATGGGGTTTTGCATGGACTGTAGAGGTATTGATCAAACTCGTGTTGCACGAGTTTGATCCTGATTTTTACCACATTTGTTTCTCTCAATGCTTCGTTTTTCCAGCCTCATTCACGTTATTCTCATCGTTATTCTAGGAACAAACCATTGGAACATTTTTCAGATTGATCAATCGCCTAAAAATCTGTTTATCCTCCGGGTTTTAATTCTCAGTTAGCTTATTTGGTTGAGAAGCACATAGCGTCACAATCCCGGTAACTCTCCAGTCCGCCATTTCTGTGGCTCACATCCCATCCTCGTCAACAAACTTTGATGGTGGTAAGCAGCCTCGGTATCGCTCGGTGCAACACCATTTTTATCCAGAACAAGCAGCAACAAGTTTGAGTAGTTGAAAACAGAAACCACTATAAGAACATTGCACGATTTATGTCCTGGACGATTTCATCCCATCTCAACTGGTGCAACTACTGCAGACAAACACAATGTTTATATAGAATTTGGGATCGGATAACAAGACTTGTTCGTCACGTTGCCTTTGCCTTGGTGATGCTTCTCCTCATGTGCAAGTTTTTATTTTGTAATCTATTCCCAAACCCTGTATAACAATTGTATTTATCTACAGTAGGCACCAGTTGAGATGCAGTGAAATCGTCCAGAACATAAATCGTGCAATGATTGTCTTTGGCTTCTCTTTTCAAATTTATCACGGGAATAGCTTGTTTGAGTTTGAGTATTGATGACTCTCGGCTATGTGTCATTGTCAAACTGACTCCCTTGGATGCAAGGAAGAGTACTGTATTGCAAAACACTACATTGCATATCTCACCGGTCCAAGAACCTTAATTTAGAAGCATAATGTATGATGTTTACTTCGCTGCATCTGTAAACTTGCATACTGCGGTCAAGATGACTTTTATAGTCGATGGGATAACAACTGTAAAACAAAGACAAGATTGCAAATTTCAAAGGATAACACGAAATAGCGACAAGAAGCGAACGAAAGAGGTTAATGCTAATTCGGCCAACCAGTCACACTGTTTACACAGATCGGGTTTGTGATTAGAAATCGCGAGAGCCTCTGATAATTTCATGTCTGATGTGTTTTAAATGACTTTAAATGATTGGACGGAAATGACAGTTTTTTTTGCTCAAATGGATGTTGCGTAATCGAATGTCCGAGACTTTTAAGCCCAGTCCATCTCTTGGCTTCTATCTACAAATTAATGACAGGAAAACAGTCTTTTCTTTCTTGAATTTTTTTGTTTTACCGAGCCGTAAATACGTAGAATTTTGAATCGCTTCAGCTTTTTAATTGAGGAGTTTTGAATCAGAATTTCCCTGATAACTCACGTTTTTTGCACGTGAGGTACTTTGTGTAATGCCCGACGAAATTCTTCAAATGTGATTTTTCCATCACGATCCGCATCGAACGCGCGTAAGAACCGCTAGGCCGAATAGCAAGTGATCAATTATCAACTGATTCTGAGTTGAACATACCGAGATGAAAAAGTCATCGAAATTGTTGCTTCGTAAATAATCTCGTAGTTCGTCACAATCAATTACACCGGATTTGTCATGATCGATTGTGTAAAACATCTGAGAGCGAAAAGGAGACACAGGTTATGTTTTATCAGTAGCGCAGTGGTCAAAATGTTTGAGCGAATAAATTTCAAAGTATATATAAATTATTTCACCTGTTTACTTTCAAACATTATCCGATAATTTTCTGAGCAGAACAGACAAATATCGAAAAAGGACTTCGTGATCTCCAGCATTTTGTACGTCTGATTCACATTTACAAATCAACGTCTTACTACTCATGAGTAGTAATATGAGATATGAGTAATATACATATGTGAACCGGCGTTTCACCGTGCTGAAGCATATTCCCGAGAGGAATGCGGCTATCTTGCAGATGTTTAATAAACCAGAACGGACTGAAGAAAAAACTCACTTGTGGGAGTTCACTGTCCCTTTCTGCATTACTGTCGGATCTGAAATTGGTTCTCATGGAAGATTATATGCGAGCAAACTCGATTCGGGGATTTCGGTCACACAATGAATGAGCTAGTTAGGGAATTACAAACACATGCTTTCGTGTGAAACGTAAGGAGTTCAAGATAAACAGCACTAATACACCCTTGTGAGAGCGGAACTTGAGTTCGGTGCTTCCTGCTTGCACCGGTAAATTCAGTTTTGTGTACGAAAATGAATTTTGAAAGATGACCTGTGAAAACTAATAACTGTACGTGTTTATCAAGCGAGTGCACTAATAACGATAATATAAATACTTTGAAGAATAGTCTAGTTCCGGATCAACGACTGCCCTCCTCTCGACACTCGAATACAATAATATAAATATTCCCAATATTGATGGTAAAATTTTAGTTGAAACTAAACTTGAAGCATCGCGGGTAAACTGTCAGCTCACATACAGAAGTCTCAGTTGGCATTTGCCAACTTGAGAAATCTGTGGCGCCGTCGTGACATCCAACTGTCTGCAAAGGGTCGAGTGTATGCCGCGGCAGTTCGGTCAGTTCTGCTGTACGGCGCAGAAACTTGACCATTAAGGAAACAGGATAAAGATAGACAGTCGGTATTTGAACACCGCTGCCTATGCAGCATTACACGAATCTGGTGGGGCAGCCGGACAGGCAATACTGAGGTTAGACGTGGAGTTTTAGGTAATCTCGGTCGCCCATTGAAGGAAGTTGTCGACCATCATAGATTACGCTTGTCACCAAATAGGTTGCCGCGGCGCGTAATATTAGCCGAGACAGGTAGTGAGTGGATAAAAAATCAAGGGTGGTCAATCTAAGACATGGCACGAGGGTATGAAAACCCTAACCAGGGGACTGGGACACATAGGTTGGGCTCCCTGACTGGGGATTTCCGGATTTACCACATGGCGCACCGGTCCACAACTGATTCTCCTGCGGTGATTCTCTATCAACATTTAAACAGCATCGGGTTCACAACTTATCCGCCTCCTATGCCGGCCCGACAATCACACCACCGATCGGGTTAATTTATCGATCGGTCGGATAGTTCAGGGACAACAAGGGATCTGGTGCTTACCCAGCTGACCCGAGCGAGAAAAACCACAGCTTGTTTGCAACCGAGAGTCTTAGACAGGTCGAATGAAATTCGACTGTACAGCAGGCGTGCCTTCACCACACGGATGGACTGTACGTGATAACAACAGCATCACAAAAAGTACAAGACAATGTGGAACGATGGAGCAATCGCACTATCGTACTATCGATATATCAACATGACATCTTAAATTGATATGCGGACATCATACATTAGAAAATATACTTCGTTTGTTGTGCTAGATTCATTTGTCCCTTTCCGTGATCTCTCACGAAAAAGCACGAGTCGATAGAATAGAAAAAAAGTGGACTGTTTTTGCCTGTTTATGGGGGAAGTTGGATCTTCATTAAGGAGAATTACTTCCAAGCCCAGTTGTTTATGTTCATCGTTGATTCGTGTTGTGGTCGAATTCGGAACAGTTCCAGGTATGAAAAAAGATCGTATGATGCAACCTTATTCCACTGTTTTGCAAGGTTTTACTCGGATTGAAATTTGAAGCACACTAATGTTTCATCAAGACTCCGACTAAAAGAATAAACGATTCGTGGATATGCGTTTGAGAGCATTCCAGTTGATGCACATTCTGACGATACATCATTGATGTCGGCGTGTTTCACCTCAAATTTGAAAGCATGTCCACTGAGGTGTAGCCTGAGGGACAGATTTAGCCGGGAACAATATAGATGACTTGAGTTGCGTGGTACTTGATACATCAAAATCAAGTTTCCTAGAATTCGACTTTACTGAGTGGATGGAATACATCCGTACGGGTCACCAAATCCTTGACCATCTTGGAAACTAACTTTTGTGGACATTCCACACATTTGCAAGTCAAGTTGTCCCAATATCATATCAAGATGTCCGGGAATTATTTCAAGTTGACCGACCATTATTTCAAATTGTCTGGCCATTATTTCAAGTTGTTCCAATATCGTTTCAAGATGTCCTCGGATTATTTCAAGCTGTCGCATTGACCTCACCGGTGCTGACAAGCCTCATGGCGATCTCTGAATGACCACAATGCAGCACCGATTTCTTTACATCCCGTTGAAGTGCGAGGGACGATTGTGGGACGGGTTTCGGTCACACACCTCGATTCCCCTGAGATACATATCGGTTATTTATCTTGCTAGTACGCGTACGGCTCTGTGTATGTCCCCCTCCGCTGATACCCATGAATCATGGGCGATCAACGTTTGAGCCTAACTGCTATCGCACGATGCAGCAATAGAATTCATAAGCTACACCTCAAGCAGCTGCACTGGGACACCAATAGACCATACGCGACCACACATCGGAATTGACCAGATTCACATCCAGTTTGTTCGACACTTTCAGGTCATAATCCATCTCTGTGACACCACCACAGGAGCACCTTCAAGCACTGGATAATCAAAATGACCATTTTGGTCATATCTGCGGAACAGAATAAGGTATCTCTATCAAATTAACTGCAATAGAAATAATGTAACGAGGGCTGTCGAAAGATGCCATAATTTTTTCGTAAGAGTAAGGGGGTTTTACAAGAAAATACAAGTTTAAAAATCGGAATGTTTCCAAAATGCACTTTTCGGATTATGGGCTCTGAATTCGATAATCTTTATTGCTGAAATCATGTAGTATTACTTAAACACCTCCTTCATACAAATTAAACCGGGTGAATTTAGGTTAACGTATGACATTCACAAGTAATAGGTGCAAACTGTCTTCGAATAATCTTAATGCTATTGTCGCATTTCTCGATTCAGTTTCACCATGGGAACACCACCGTGGTCGTTCTTAGAATAGGGATTACCGAAGCCACCACCAATCAGAAATTGTGACAATGTTCGATAAGTCAGTAAGTATTAGATCAGAACACCTGAACCACAACGCGGTATTTTGGGGTTCTTGCAGTCAACCCAGGGGAAACGGTGGAGGTACAGTATCCGTTGATGAATATCACCCGTTGGCAAACAAAGCATGAAACAACCCATGCACCTGACGTAATATTACCTAGGCTCACGGATCTGAAAAGGGGGAAGAAATTTTCCCGCGCAAAATTTTGTGAAGCAGGTCCAAAGGAGAGAAGACTTTTGGACCTACGTCAATGTCTTGGATAAGCATGCAGGCCACCAGAGAAAAAATTAACCAAGCTCTAACTTATGGCTACTGCCCGTAAATAGCTAGAAGTGCTCGATAATGATGAATGGTTCACAGAATCCAGTTATCGAATATTACTTCACCACAGTGAGAACCCTCACTCCTCATTAACTGTCTCTTCGTTTTGTATTACTGTATTATACATGACGTGTGCAGCGACTGTGTCCATATCTCAGTCAAAAATATGTTCACCGGTACAGTGAGATAAAAAACGAAAAGAAAATAATATACAACAATGATAAACTTAATAGGCGTTCAGCTTTGTCAGTTTAAAATTAGTTCTTTACGGATTCTCACCGTGTCAGCGAAAATACGAGCCAAATAGGAAAGCGTTGAGTTACGATAAATGTTTATGCGGGAGGGCAAACAGCGTGGGAACGGTAAGCAGATAAATCGGGAATGAGTGGATGACTGGGGTCACTGAGTGTCTTTTGAGTAAAGTGATATGCGAATCACAATTTTGTGATCAGATTGTTTAAAGGAATAAGAGAAACACGGCTGATAATCACCAAACCGCTACATAGAGTAATGAAATCATTTTTAAGTAGTCGAGGGACAATAACGGGCAAACAATAAAGTATGATAGGAAAAATGCATTGATAAACAAAGGAACACAGTTTCATGCCTGACGCGAAATTGTCGTAACTTGCGTCTTTGAAAAGCTAATCGACGCAGTCTACTAACAGAAGCAAGCACATAAGAAGGGGGTATTCGGATCGGGAAAGACTAAAAATGCATTCAAAGCATTTAGAAGTATTCAGTCGGAGGCCGGAATTAATTTATATCCCGTGTAATCTCTCTTTCTGAGGGAGGATTCGCGTTGACTGGTAACAATGACTCACATGAATCAAAAGTTAGTAATTGTGATGTTCTTAGAGGCCTGTTAAAATTTACGCTTTGAAATGTCGTACTCATCGTTGCAGACGGTGTTACTAAATATGAATCAGTGTATATTGAGCTCCCTAATCGACTCGCGCTTGGTCTCGTGAACTTCTGGGGTTCTTACTGAGATGGCGTTTAGGAGATTTGCGTGTGGTG